GGTGCTGCTTGGCCTGCTGTGTTCATCCAGCTCTACACCTTGTTATCTTTGACGCATTATACAGTTTTGTTTGAAGTCACAATCCTCTAATTTGAGAGAAGGTCCTCCTGGCTGAATCAAAATGATATTCAAGTCTAGATCTGGGTGGCAAAGCCAAAGACCAAGCCACTGGCTTACAGTTAACACGCAGAGCCTATAGCTCCAAGGGTGGCTCCTCCCTTTTCTGTGGCTGCTATGGTCTAATGTAAACAACATTTTACATTCATATAGCACCTTTAATGCAATAGAGCGTCCCAAGGTGCTTCACCACAGCAGCATTAGACAGACGTTAATATTGAACGACAAAAGACAATATTAAGACAGGGGACCAATAGCTTTGTTAAAATTCGTTCACGGGACATGGGTATTGGGGCTGGCTCAGCAATTATTGCCCATCCATAATTGCCCTTGACAAAGGTGGGGCCTGCCTTCTTTAATGACTGCAGACTGTTTGGTGCAGGTACAAAGATTGTCGAAGAGCTTGGATTTAAAGGAATGAAGAATGCTAGAGAGGCAGAGAGACTTGGCGAAAAAAATTCTAGAAGTTAGAGGCTAAGTGGAAAAGACAGGGTCATCAGTGGTGCAGGCAATAGAAATTAGCAATGCATTGGAGGCCAGAGTTAGAGGGCTCCTTGAGAAATTATGGGACTGGAGGATGTTGCAGAGTTAGGGAGAGATGAGACCAAGCAAGGATTTGAACACAAGGATGAGAATTCTAAACAAAAGGCATTGGGAACCAGAAAACAAGTTCAGATCAGCAAATCAACTCATGGGAATGGGAACAGGATAACATAAAACAGCACCAACTTGTATCTTGTTAGTACCTTCAGCATACTAAAACATCAAGGCAGAGTCATTATTAAACAATATTAGCCGCCAATAGAGTTATTAAACCAGATGGCCAACGACTTCATTAAAAGAGGTAAGTTTTAAGGATTTTCTTTTAAAGAAAAGACAGCAATGAGAGGAATTAGGGAGGAAGGTTTTGGCAGCTGAAGGCACACGCATTATTAAAAAGAATGGGGGAAACTCAAGAGGCCAGAATTCCAAGGAATGTAGAAACCTCCACAAGACATAGGAGTAGAAACAGGCCATTCAGCCCATTGAGTCTGCTCCACCAACCATTGAGATCATGGCTGACCTGATAACACTCTACTCCACGTTTCCGGCCTTGTCCAGGGATATGCATCCTATCAAAAGGATAGGTAGATGGGGTGGGGTTGCCTCATTATTGGGAAATGAAATTAAAATCAATAGCAAGAAGTGATGTAGAGTTGCAAGGTGTAGAATCTGTGTGAGTATAATTGGAGAGTCACAAAAGGTAAAAAAAAGGAGCCTGATGGAAGTAGTCAGGATGTGGGAAAAAAAATAAATCAGGAGATAGAAAAAGCATGTAAGAAAGGCACTATTACAATAATCATAGGGGACTTCAATTTGCAAGTGGACTGGTAAAATCAGGTTGGTAGCAGATCTCAAGAAAAGGAATTTGTGGAATGTCTACAAGATTTTTTTTTGGAGCAGCTTGGGTAGCATCCACAGAGAACAGGCAATTCTGGATTTGGTGATGTGTAACGAGGTAGACTTGATTAGGGAGCTTAAGGTGAAGGAACCCTGAAATCGTAATATGATAGAATTCATCCTGCAGTTTGAGAGGGAGAAACGTGCCTGGATTACAATTGAGTAAAGGTAAATACAAAGTCTTGAGGGAGGAGCTGGGTAGAGTTGATTCGAAGGGGATCCTAGCAGGAAAGATGGTGGAACAGCAATGGCAGGTGTTTCTGGGGGTAAATTGAAGAAGCACTGCAGAAATTCATCTCAAGGAAGAAGAAGCCTACTAAGGGAGGATGAAGCAACTGTGGCTGAAAAAGGGAAGTCAGAGGCAGCATAAAAGCAAAAAAAAAAAATGCAATGTAGTAAAGATTAGTGGAAAGCCAGAGGATTGGAACACCTTTAAAAACCAGCAGAGGATAACTAAAATAGCAATGGAGGTTGGGGGGATGTGGCGGTGCAGAGGTGCAGAAATTTGAAGAAATGAGAGCAAGCTAGCAATATAAAAGATTGCAGGAGTATTTTTTAGGTATCTGTTCGGCAAGAGAGAGGTAAGAGTGAAATTGGACTGTTGGAAAAACGAAGCTGGAGAAGTCATAACGGAGAACACGGAAATGGCAGAGGAAACAAATAGGTATTTTGCATCAGT